GTACAGAGACCCATTGTGCACCCCTCTTCGGCCTGCAGTGTACTTGAGTAGTCATTATTCTTGTGATTCCAGGACCTTGCCAATCCAACAGGAGTATCCAGGGAGACAAGGACTCCAAGATCTCAAGGGGCGCCTCCAGGTAGAGGCTGCCTCTCTTTGCCAGAGGCTCCAGTTGGCAAAATAATCAGCCATGGAGAGTTGTACCTCCATGGGTACAACTTAACCCATGGGGACTCCTTAACGAGAGTGGGGCCCAAAGGTAGAGAACGTGCCACAGCTTGCTGGACATTTCTCCATGCAGGCGATTGATTTTGGCACAGCTCAAGGTATTGCCTTGTGGTGTAGCCAGTATAAAGGACCAAGTAGAATGTCCAAGGGTGAGTGTATCAACCAGGGTTCAACTGGAGAAGCAGTAGGGACAAAATAGAAAACATAACACACATACCATACAGGTTGTTGGCTTACTTCATCATGGGGACTAGCTAAGTAACCCAGAAGTCCAGAGGCAGGCAGACAGGAAGGGCTGCTGAGAAGCAGCTGGATCCCATAGTTGCCAGCTAAAGACTGTGGTCCCAGGCAGCGGTTAGGAGGAGGGATCTGGGGAAAGGGAAAGCAACTATATGTAGCCCCCACTGCAGTTTGGAATCTCTGTGTTCAGGGAAGGCCAAAGTCCTCCCAAAGGGCTTCTCACTGATGGAGTCAAGCCCACCCAGGAAAATCTCCCTTTTGAGTAATTTAAGGTCAGTTAATTATGAACTTTAATTATATCAGCAAAGTGTATGCTGCAATCAGCCTGGCCACACTGACATGTCACAGAGCCATACTGCCTGCACTACTCAGAGTCCAGCAATGTGCGAGGCTGCCTTTTTGGTGATGCGATGCTGAGGAGCCAATTAGTTGTTCCTCAGTAGCTAAAGAGATTGGGCATTATGAACCCACCCACACAATCCCAAGAAACTTTATTGGCTAGTAGACCTCTGGATTCTGCTGGTGGAGGTGTGATAATAGCACAGCCAGGGACTGTTGAGACACAGGTTTCTGACTTGCCAGTGAACAGAATGTCATATACAAGCTCTGTCCGGAAAAGTATCCTGGCACATGAGCAGGTCTGTTGTCATGCAGCTGCCAGTCTCTCATTGCATCTTTCCTGAAAGCCTTCTGAACCATCTGAATAGTTTCCGCAGAGGAATGTTCAAGCTTAGCACAAAATTTGATACAGATTTGTTGCTCTACTTGCTCATTCATTTTGAGTGTGATGGGCACACAGTACACATGCTCACTCAGTGGCATCTACCACCCCCACTGACTAGTACAGTGAAGTCATCATTGTTCACACATGCACATTCCAGTCTGCTCTCCTTGTTCCTCTTGCCCTGTAAGTTCCACAGGGGCAAACGGAGTGGCCCAGATGGGTTTTGTCACAGCAAAAACCCCCCACATTTAGGTAATCCCAATGTTGATTTTGGCAGAAAACATGGGACTCCTGGGTCAGAAACAAGGGACTGTGTTACAGCCCAGCCGACAGCATGAACTCCATTTTTGGGTCATCTCATCCTGCCCCATATGTCCACAGCTGCAGAACCCTGAGTTTAGATAATCTGAGCAAACCTGCTCAATCTTAGCCCAGAGAGACATTATTTTTATTACACTGGACAATAAACAAGTCTGCCCTCTACTCTGGAGGGAGATAGTATCTCCACCTTCCTATGCCATTTGCTATACACACATCCTTGAAAAGTGAGTTCATAACTAAAGAAGCCAGCGCCTCTGCTTATGAGACATGCAGAAGTGTGAGACACACACACGTGAATTGTCTTCCAACACACTGGACAAGGATTAACATTCCCACTGATGATTGTAAATCAAGAAAAAAATAATTTCTATCCAGTATACCTTGTTTAAGAAGAAAAGTGTGTGAAATATTCTTTCCAAATGGTTAAGTCTCTATGCCTTTGGAATACTCAACTGTCCAAAACAGTACTCTGAGATCTTACCTCCCTTGAGCAGAGAAAACAAATTACAATTTTGTGTGTTTGCCCCAAATAGAAGGTCAAAAAGGCAGGCCTGTGGAACTGCAGGTATTGATTTGTCATTGGGTGGTATACTGAAGGTGAACAGCAATCAATAGTTTAGTACAATTGTTTATGACCCTTCAGGAAATGCTGCTGCTACTGTCATTATCAGCAGTTACAGCATAGAGAAGCATTTGTGAGTTATCAAATTTAGCTAATACTTTTTTGCATCTGTGTTATCTGAACACCTAAAGTGGAGGCTTTGTTTTATTTTTTAAGTTATGTTTTATTAATTTTGTTATTACATTTGTCCCATTTTTTCTTCCTTTGTCCTCCTCCATTCAGCACCTTCATTCCCTCAGGCAGTCCTCACACCACTGTTTGTGTAGGTGGGTTGTGTGTATAAGTTCTTTGGCTACTCCATTTCCTCTACTGTACTTTACATCCCCATGGCTATTCTGTAACTGTCTATTTGTTCTCCTTAATCCCCTCACCTCTTCACCTATTCCCCTTAACTCCCTCCCATCTGGCAGCCATCAAAATGCTCTCCATATCCATGATTCTGTCTCTGTTCACACACTCAAATTGTTTGCTTAATTTGTTTTTTAGATTCAATTGTTGATAGATATGTATTTATTGCCATTTTATTGTTCATAGTTTTGATCTTACTCTTTTTATTAATAAGATCCTTTAACATTTTATATAATTATGGTTTGGTGATGATGAACTCCTTTAGTTTTCTTGTCTGGGAAGTGCTTTCTTTATGTGCCCTTGAATTCTAAATGATAGCTTTGCTGACTAGAGCAATCTTGGCTGTAGGTCCCTGCTCTTCATGACTTTGAATATTTCTTGCCAGTTTCTTCTAGATTGCAACATTTCTTTTGAGAAATCAGCTGACATGGAAAGCTTTATTTTTTAACCCATCTTAGAAATGGTTGAGATTAAAGAGTATGAAATCATTAATAAGTGAATACATTGAAAATGTCTTTCTCAGGAAGTTTGTGTTAGTGAAAGATGAATAAACGGAATTTTCTAATATAATAATGCTTTGAATTGAATTATACAACTAAATACTTGGGGGAAGAAAAAGGCCAAGAAGTTTTCAAATGTTTATTTTATCCTCATATGGTCGTAGGCTACAAATATATACGTAGTTTCATATTTTTTAAATTATGCTTTTGAAAAACGTTAAAGCAATTTCCTGTTAACTTTTCATTTTTTTGGTAATGACCAGCTTTTGGTGTTTTATTGTTACTGAGATAGGTTTTTAAAATATTTTTTAATTCTATGTATGTGTTTAAAAAAATTGTGCCTTCGAAGTAGGCCAGAATAGATTAAAATGAAAGAAACATTGCGCTTTTAGTTATTTGTAGTCTTAAAGGTGACTTGGTTATAATTTGTCATTCTTAAGAGCTGCAGTTAAATTGAAATTTTATATAAAAGTCATTCATTTGACAAAAGTAAGTTCTCTTTAAAAGGGGGACATTTATAATTCACTTACTTAGCAGTCCGCTAGGTGCTCGTTATTTTTAAGAAGAGTAATAAATGGCATGTAGATTTTTTCCTCTCTTCCTCTGGCTTAAACATATTTTTATTACTTTTTATTTCTGGTAAAATAGAAAGTAACACATAGGGGATGTTATTTTGTAGTCCATAGGGGATAACTTACTCAGAATCATTGAGGTGCAGTTTCAGAATCATTTGCATGTCCAGTGATTCTCGCTGCAGCAGAACTCTTCTTTTTCCCATTTTTATATCTGACCATCTGTCCGTGTTTTGTTTCCTCACATAAAAGAACAGTATGCTATATATTTTTAGCTTCTTTTTATTGAATTGTTTCAAAAGAAAGGTGAATGGAATCTGCCCTGTAATTAGTTTCTAAACCTAGAGGAAAATTAAACATTTAGTGTGAGTAATATACGTATATATTTTTAATATGTGATTAGAACATTACTTTTTGTAAAGTTGTACTTTATATGAGTAAGACAAACTGTAAAGCAAACTTGATATTCTTAAATTTAGGGAGCAGATGTACTACTTTATAAAATATTTTCGTTAAAATGATTCACTTTAGGAGCCTTAAAAATCAAGTCATGTATACCACTTCTTGGAAACCTGCCTCTTGCAGGAAGGAAGGGCAGCCCTGCCCTTTTGCTGGGGTGGGAGGTGGGTATAAAATCTTCCCCATGGTACCTGCCCAACTGTTGAGTGCTTTTCTATGCTTAAAGCTGCTAATATTTGGCTCACTTTAGATTCCATTGTCTTACAAAAAGGTCAAGAGCATACTTTCTTAAAAAGTACTGGAAGGCACACATACTTTTTTGTTTCTTTTTGGTAATACAGTCAATCCTCATTATTTGCAGATTCTGTGTGAATTTGCCTACTCACTAACATTTATTTGTAATTCCAAAAGTAATACTTAGGGCACTTTCTCAGTGATTCCTGGACATTTGCAGAGAGGTGAAAAACATGAATCAATGAAGTTCACTTTTCCAGCTGAGGTCAAACAAGGTGACTTGCTGCCTTCTTCCAGCTCTCACACTGAACAAGTGTCTGGATTGTGCTCTGTTTAGTGTCATGCTTTTCGTGTTTCGATGCCTTTTTCGAGGGTGTGCTTTGGCTGTTTTAAAATGGCCCCAAGCACTGTGCTGAAGTGCCGACATGCTGTCTAGTGTTTCTAAGGCCAAGAAGGATGTGTGTACCTTAACAAAGAAAATGTGTATTAGGTAAGCTTTGTTAAGGCTTGACTTATAATCCTCTTGGCTGTGAGTTCAATGTTAATGAACCAACAGTACATGTTAAATAAAATGCCTTTAATCAGAAACACACATAAAGCAAGGTTATGTTGACAACGTGGTGAGAACAAAGGCCTGTATTTCCCTAGAAGCCATAGTCAGTATTCATTAATTCAGTGTTGGGGACTACTTTATATAAAGTATATCCTCTGAATAACCAGAACTGGGGGGCCCTTTGTTTTTCTTTTTTTAGCTGATACAGATCAATCTAAAGTCAGCAGTCAATCAAGTATTTTGTGAGTATGCATGTTTTTTGTTTTTCACCTCCAGAGTCTCTCAGCTGTTTTGCAGCCAGCTCCTCAGCTTGAACTTTGCTGTGGGGAGAAGAGCCAGCTTGAAAATGGGAGCAGCCGGCTGCTGGGCAATCTGGCATGCTGCTTGTCTTGGCTTTCCCTGACCATCTCATGCTGAATTTCCACCTTCCCTTTTCATGCTTTTGGAGCCTGGGACATAAACACCAGCTCCTGCTGGCCTGTAATGACCAGGGGATTGTGGTCCAGGAGGGGAGGGTGCTGGGCCATGGCCCCTCTTGCCTCTGATGATTCAGTAGTTACCTGTTAAGGAACTCTATGTAAGGGGGTTCATTCATGGTTTTGTTTGTGTCTTTGTTTTTAAGTTTTGCTTTGCTTTGGATATGACTTTTCCTTCATCACCCCAAACCAACTGGGTAAGGTATCAGCCAGAACACATTTTTTAGGTAGGGAGGTTTAAAGACCTTCTTAAAAGCCTAGGCACTGTTACTTTTCAAATCCCTACCCTAAATTATATAAAACATACCCATATCCTAAAGTAAATCTAATATATATAATTATGACGAGTTGAGTTGCTATTAAAATGTCATATGTGAAAGTATTTAGTTAAATGTCAATTTTTAAAATTTTTATATTCTAGAGCAATAAATACCCAGCCCCACCGCCCTGCCACCGTGCCAACATTTCATGGGCCCTGTTAAAGGGCCCATTAAATGCTTATCGGTCCTATAGTGCAGGACAGATCTGTCAGTGTGTCCTTATGAAAGGGAGGAATTCGGGTTTTGCTCTGCCCTTCAGCTACTGTTTAATTCTCCAGGCCTTGACAGGGGCTTGGCTGGGCCTCATGCCACACGTGTTGCTGCGTGTACAAAAATAAACCACACAGCTCTCTTTCCCTCAAGGAATTGAAGGAAAGAGAATCTTTCCCTCTTACTCCTTCACCTTCTTCCATTATTATGTTGGTGGTTCTTTTGTTGGTGGGTTTCCTCTTCCAGCACATATACTGGCGTTCACAGCTCCCACCTACTCTTTTATGTGGTCAGTTTGGAGGGGGAAGGCAAAATGGATTAAGACGGCGGGAGTGTGTTCTATAGTATTTAAAGTGCGGACTCATAGAGAAGAAACAGGAGATCCTTTGGATATGTATAGTGTTAACGGTGGTATTTCACCCAACTAGCCACTTTTTAGAAAGGGTGGAAAACAGATAAGACTTTTGTTGTGGGTGGGAAGGACTGTGAGTTGGATCTGGAAAGCAGTGAACTTGAGGGAGGTCAGATTATGAGATATAGTGAGAGTAAAGGATAGAAAATAGGTGTAGTGTGCGAGAAAATAGAGCTAACCACAATAGTGATAAAGTTCCAGAAACAGTGAAGGGAGCTAAAGTCTGGAAGGGTTGCTGTGTAATATTTACAATTGTATGGAACAGCAGTTATTTACAATAGTAATGGAGCAACAATCACATGACATTATCTATATGATGTGAGTAATAAGAGTGGGAAGTACACAACCTAGAGTAGTTTGCTATTGGAACACAAGTGAAGTGAAAGAAGGAAAATTAAAAATACACTATGAAAGAGAGAACAAGGAAAACCAGTCAAACAATGGAATTTCACAAACCAAGTGAAGAAGACTAAACAGAAAGAAGAGAAATAAAAAAATACTAATAAAATAAAAGATGTAAAAATAATGAAAAAAATAATACATGTATACAAAAACTTGCAAGTTCTCTGGAATAGCGAAGTGAAATTTGTCTCACCATCTCAGTTGTTGGGACGACCCCTCTTTGGATCTAACTCTGGTCCTTTCACAGCTCCAGGTTTTATTGTCCCACTTGTGGGAAAAAAAAAAAAAAAAAAAAGGAAGGAAGGAGTAAAAAACAAAAGAAAGAAGAAAAGAAAGAAAGGAAGAATTTTTTTTAAAAAGTGCCTCTTGCTGGCTTAATACAAGCCAAGCCAGTTCTGATGGTCTTCCTGGGAACAGCAAGGCCGAGGGGGGATTGGTTTTGTTTTTCTCCCTTTCTGTGGTTTTGTGAAGGATGGGATTCAGTTCTGAACCGCACTCTTTGTAGTTGCCCAGCCTCCAGCCCAGTTCTTCAGTTCACTGCTTGGCCCCCAGTGCCCTTCCGTGCCCGGCCTTCGCCTTCAGTCCACCAGTTGTGCTGTCCTTGAGGTGCACCAATTAGGGGCAACTCACACACCACCTTCTCGCTCTTTACTCTCCTGGATTCTAGGGACTCTCAGAGTCTTTTCAGGGTAGTATGGCTCCTCACTGAGTTAAGTCTTTCTGGGGATTGCTGACTCTCTGAGCCCTGCTGCTTACCTCTGTGGGAGCATCTCTGCTTTCTTCTTAGCAAGCCAGTGGGCCCCTGTGGGGGCGCTGCAGTAGCTGCCCTGGATGACATGGGTGAGCCTCTGCTGCTGTGACCGGGTGATGGGGTTGAACACGATGATGGGGTTGAGCAAGCAGAGCCTCTGGTGGTGGGGTCAGGCGCCTGCTCTGCCCCTGGGGCTGTGGGTGTGATTGCTGGACCTCTGCTGCTGGGGCAGGGTGGGCAGCTGCTGGGCTGCAGGGTTGGGCACACTTTGTCCTTGGGGCTTTGGGTGTGAGCATGCAAACTGCTGCTGCTGCAGCAGTGGTTGGGGTGGTGGGGTCTGGCGTGTTCTGGCATGTTTCATTCCCTTGTCTGCTGTTGTGAGCACTTGGCCTCCACTGCTGGGGCTGGAGCACAGTGGCAGGGCGGTGGTGTCAGATGTGCACTGCCTTCTGCTGCTGCAGTGATAGCCGCGAAGGAGTGGGGGGCAGCTGGGTCCATTTTGCACCACTGGGTTCACAGGTGTGGTTGGGTGCTCTCCATCGCTGTGGCTAGGAGTAGGGGCCCAGCGGGGGCCTGGCAGCAGAGGTGGGCCCACAGCTGAGGCTGTGGAGGCTGCTTGTACCAGGGGTGGTGGGGGTGGCTGCTGTGGAAGAATTCCCTAAACAGCTACCAAGTGCCTCATTTTTTTCTTTTTCAAAATTGCCTCCTATTCAAGCCTGCTGTTTCAAACAAGTGCCTTGCCTCTCACACAGCCCAACTCTCCAGCCAGCCTGGGGACTATGTGGGTCAGGGTCTGTGATTGCCCAAGTCTTTTCAGTTGGCATCCACAGTCTCAGTGAGTGCACACTACCCCTGTGTGTTTGCCAATTCATCCTTACCCCCGCCCACCAGCAACTTCAAGCATCCAGGTCCATTCTGGTGCTGCTGAAACCTACTTGTTTGGCAGGGGAGGGAGCTATTGATCTGGCTCTCTCCTGAGAATCCTGTGGTAGACTTGGCAGGTCGAGGGCCTGGGGCTGCAGCAGCCCTGGTCCCATTGCTGGTCCCAGGGACCTTACTGCCCCAAAGCACTCTCCTTACAGTCTCATTTTTCAATGTCCTCTACAGTTTTGGCCTGCAATCTTCATATATGCTAAGATACCATTGGCTGTTCACTCTATTCCTTAGAAGATTGGCTAGGTGTTCCACCCATGCACAAGGAGAAGTGGACTCTGTTCCCACCTATCTCGCTGCCTTCTTCACACCTTCCATTTTAAAAGAAAGCCTTGCTGGATACAGTAGTCTTGGTTACGGGTCCTTGCTTTTCATTATTTGGAATATTTCGTGCCAGTCCTTTCTTGCTTGTGTTTGTTTAGAAATCAGCTGATAGCCTTATTGGAGCTCCCTATTATGTTACTAGCTGTTTTCCCCTTGCTGCCTTTAAGATTCTCTCTTTGTATTCTAATGTTACCATTTTAATTGTCTTAGATTGGGCCTGTTTGGATTTATCTTGATTGGATTTGTCTGTGCTTCCTGAACTTGCATTACTTTTTCCTTCACCCAGGTAAGGATGTTTTCTGTCATCATTTCTTTAAACAATATTCTGTCCCTTTCTTCCTTTCTTTTCTTTCTGGTATCCCTATGATGCTAATATTGTTGTGCTTCTCGTTCCAAAGCTCTCTTAAACTATCTTTGTTTAAGCCTTTTTTTGTTTTGTTGCTCTGACTGGGCGTTTTTTTCTACCTTGTCTTCCAACTTGCTGGTTCAATCCTTTCCTTCATAGTCTGCTTTTAATTTCTTCTAGGGTATTTGTCATTTCAGATATTGTATTCTTCATTTCCACCTGCTTCTTATTCATAGTTTCTATGTCCTTTTTCATGCTAATTTAGTTCCCACTAAATTCCTTGTAGTTTTCACTCTGTTTCTTGGACATCTTTAACAACCATTGCTTTGAACTCTATGTCTGATAAATTGCTTGCCTTAATTTTATTTAGCTCTTTTTCTGGGGGTTCCTCCTTTCCTTTTGGTTGGGGGTTGTTTCTTTGTCTCCTTATTTTAGCTGACTATTTTTGTTTGTTTCTGCATATTAGATTGATCTGCTTTGACTCCCTGTCTTCATGGGGTGGTCTCATGTGGTAGGAGTCTTGTAGCAGTCAGTGGTGCAGTTTTCTTCATCTCCTGAGCTGGATGATCCTTCATGAAGTTTATGTGGGCTCTCCTGTTGTATTTAGGTTTTGATTGTTGTTGGCCCATTAGTTGGTGGGTTCTTACCTCTGGCTGGCTCACTGAGAGTCTCAGCCATCGCCACATCTTGTTTGCTGTTGTACATGTGCTGATACAACAAAACAAAACAACACAGTAAACAAATCCCACACTTGCAAAAATACCCCCAACAACAACAGCAATATTAATGGAAGCAAAGATGAATAAAGGTGGAAAGAGAATAAGAATATTATAAGAAATAAGAAAAGAATATGAGATGACTAAAGAAAAATTATTGTGAGAAGATGAGATAGGAGAAATAGTAAGAGTAAGGTTGGAAACAAGGAATTGCCACAAAGGGTTGAAGAAAGGGAAAAAATAAAATGAAAATAAAGAGACAGAAGAAGAAAGAAATTGAGTAAGAAAGGGGGAGAGTAAAATGAGATTTGAAATAAAAAATAGTAAAAAGGACAAATTTGAAGGAAAAGAAAAATGTTAAAAAGGTGTGCAAAAGAAAAAATAATGTAAATAATGGAAAAGAATGAAGTGCACTTTGTCTCAGCAGAATTTAGTGCTTGCCTGCTGGGTTCTCCTTCTGGATATCATTCTAGTGTTGTCTAAATCTGGTGTAAGCCAATGTTAGATGCTGTCCCTGTTTAGCTCTAGGTAGCCTGTTCAAAGCTATAAGCAATCCATAGTCTGTGGCTGTCTTCTTCAGGCTTGGCTCGACTAGGATGGTCCTTGCTGCTTTTCACTGCTGCCTTTTTTTTTTTTTTCAGCATAAGGCCCACAAGTACTGCTTCCACTTGTCCTTATCTGCAGTCCTGCCATTAGTCGTAGTCTAGCCAGTGTCCTGTCTGTTTCTGAGAGGGCTTCTGGTACAATTGGGAAGATGGGCCCTCTGGATCTCCCTTGGGAAGAGCTGTTTAGATTTTAGGGAAGATGGTGGATATGTTCCCTGTCCTTGCACCACATGTCTTGGTCTGTCCCAGATTATTTCCAGTAGTGGTGAATAGTTCCTAAAGAGTTAGCTGGCCATTTTATGTGAGGGCCGATCTGTATAAAAGGGTCAACCCTTTCCTGCTTGGAGCTGATGTCAGTTCTATATAAGAGCTGGAGTTCTTTGGGGTTGACCTTTGTCTTTAAGTCTCTCTGCCTTTCTGTGGTTACCTGGTTTGTCTCTAGAGCCTTTTGATAAGGATCTGTAAGCTGAGACCATATCTCTTGAAATAGGGATATCAGGTTTCCCTTTGTTGGAATTGTAGTCTGTAGGGCACTCAGTGAGGGGAGAGTAGCCCCTACTCAGAGCTGACTCCTTTAGTCTTTACCAGAGATTTGGGCTCTTGCTACCTTAAGGGGCCTCACTGTTGGTTCAAAATGGGCACATTCAACTTTCCTCTTTGCAAGAGTGGGTAGCTGCTCTGGATGGACTTCAGGGGATAAATCAGAAAAGTCTCCCATTGAGTTTGGGGCAAGACCAGACCACATTGGGAACTAAACTTTCTTTCTCAATCTAAGACCTCAGTAGGAGGCTAAACTCTCTGTCCTGCTCTCAGGCAATACCCTCCAAAATTCTCACTTTGAGAGTCCCCGTTTGAGTTTCTCTTTCTTCCTCCTACAGAAATGCACCCAGCAGGGGAATCTTGGATTTTGCAGGACTATTTTATTTTATTTTATTTTATTTTTTATTTATTTATTTTTATTTTTTTCCCTCTTCCCCTGCAGGACTATTTTAAAGAGTTACCCTCTTGGAGGTGGTGCCTACAACCCTGCAAGGTGGGGGGGATGGGTACAACTTTCCCTTCCCAGAGGATTGTATTCTGCAGGGAGGTTTGCCTTGCTGCCAAGTATGTCGGGTGCTCAATTCTCTTCTGACTAGTTCCTAGCCCATAGCCTCTGCAAGAGACATACACCAAAACTCTTCATTCCCTCAGATCTCAGTTTGCTTGCCAGCAGAGCTGGGCAGGGCCCAAAAAACCTCTTGTTGCACAATTTCTGATCTCTTTGCCCAGCTGGTTTCAGTGGGATGGAACCCAAAGAACCAGTGTGGCTTGGCATGACTGAGAAAAGTTCAGAATGGTCCCATTTGGAGTTTTTCTTTTTCCCCCCTGAGGAAATGTGCCCAGTGGGGGAATTTTGGACCTGTCAGGACTGTTCTTCAGAGTTTTTCTGTTGGAAGTGGTGCCTGTAACCCTGCTGGGGCAGATGGGCATAATTTTCCTTTCCCAGAGGATTGTATTCTGCAGGAAGGTTCGCTTCACTGTCAAGTATCCCATGTGCTCAACTCCTGCCCCTTTAACTCCCAGCCTTTGTAGGCAACACATTCCAGTTTGCTTGCAAGCCAAGCTGGGTGGGGTCAGCCAACCTCTTGTTGTGCAAATTTCTGATCTCTCTGCCTAGCTGGATTCACTGGGAAAGGATCTGGAGATCCAGTGTGGCTTGGAGCAGCTGAGAAAAGTTTAGAATGGGTAAAAAAATAATTTTCCATTCATTTCAATTAGTTTCGCCTTCATATATTTGTCTAATTTGTGGCTATAATCAACCAGTTCTGTGAAAAAGAAGTTAAAAAAAACATGAACAGTGAAAGGACAGCAAACTCACAGTTATTAACAACCACACCTAAAACCAAAGCAAACTAAAAGGACAGCTAGATCAGGAGTGGAAACATAGAAATGAAGATCTCAAGGAGGGTTAGCAACAGGGGAGTGGGAGAAGGAGAAGGGGGGAGAAGGTACAGAAAATAAATAGCATAGACAGTAGATAGAAAATAGATGGGGGGGGGCGAGAATAGCATGGGGAATATAGAATCTAAAGAACTTGAGACACATGGACATAAACTAAAGGTGGCGGTAATGGTGGGGACGGGGGGTAAGGTGGAGGGGAATGAAGGGGGGGAATAGAACAACTGTAACAGCATAATCAATAAAAAAATTAAAAAAAATAATTTTCCTGTTCCACTAGTTTCCTCTTTTAGTCTGCACTTGTATAGTGAACTCTTCAACTTGGTGCCCAAACCATAGGAGCACTTCACACTGAATTGTGATCTCTGATTTTTACTGGTGTGGTGGAACCTCACTGCCTCCTGCTGCCAGAGCCCACAGCCTCCCCTATCCTCTCTATTGCTGCAGGTATCCCTAGGGCCCTGCAGTTCCAAGGGGAGGGAGCTCCATTGCTGCAGTTTCAATCTGGTCTTTGCTGTCAGGGCAGCTGTGCCCAGCTCCTTGTCCAGCCACTTTTCAGTTACTTTTAAAAAGTTTCTATGCTGTACCTGCAGTGCAGTACCTAGTCAATGTCTGATTCTCTGCACATGCAACCTTCCTAAGGAGTGAGATGTCTCTCAAAGTTGCGGCTGGCTGTAGCCTGCAGGTGCCTCTGGCATACCCGGTTTTGGCAACCTGGTTGCTTTAGTAGTCTGTGCCTCTATCTGGAGTTCTCCAGGTTGGCATCTCAACTGTGGGAGTGCTGTGTGTGTGTGTGTGTGTGTGTGTGTGTGTAGCCTGGGTCCCACAGACTCAGCAGATTCCCCCAGGTTACCTCTGATTGGGGTTGGTATGCCCTTGCTCCAAGAGGGGAGGGAGCTTCAGAGCGATTTCTGTCTGGTCTCTCAGCTACAGTAGGAGCCACACACAGAGTATTTCCCTTTCCACTTATAAAATTCCATTATCAGGTGGTATGAAGCATCTTCTGTACTCCTTGGCCTCAAAACTTCCTATCTGCTAAGATTCTGTTGATCAGGTTGATAGTTGGAAGATCAGTTGAAATTCTGGGTTGGAGGCAGGAGCAAGTGGACTCAGCTTCCACCTACTCAGCTGCCATCTTTGGATCCCATATTACAACAAATTTCTGATGAAGATGACAGTATGGTGTTCACCAAAATTAGACTTTAATGCAAATTTAGAGTTTTAAATTGAAAGCCTCAACTATTTAAGTATAACATATGGACTGCCTTTTATTAAGTGAAAAAAAAAACCAAACCTACAATTACAATGTAGATGCATAATGCCTGGCTTCCTTGGTTAGACCAAGTACGTGATTTTGTTTCATTGTACCTGGGAATTTAGTTATCTGCTGTCTTTATGAGCTGTCTTTATGCCCAAACCTATTTTATTACAACTAGAGTAACAATAATAGCAGCTACTTTTTATTGAGATCCTACTATGTGAGATCCCAGTGTGTGTCACGGCCAAGAGGTAGAGTTGATATTTAAACTGCATCTGTCTGGCTGTAACCTCTGGGAGCTGGGACTGTGTTCTGGGCTTTCTCAACCTGTGTGGGTGTGTTTTGGAGGGCATCTTTATTATTTTGGGGGTTTAGGTAAGAGGGGGAAGTAGTGGTCATAATTTTAACAAATCTGTTAACACTGCTTCTGAAATGCAGAAGTTTTTTATAATATCCCTTTCTCAAGAGGTATTTTTATTAAGTACTTTAGTCTTTTTAAAATGATAATTTTGTAGGTGTTTGCTGAACTATTATGTGGTAGATTCTAGGATTAGAATTTTGGGAAAACATTTCAAACCAGATTTAATAACAATAGCATAGTAGCTAATATTGGGATTTTTAAAAGATTTGTTCATTTAAACTCTACCACTAAACAAGATTATAAGGTGACTCTTTACCTTATTTTAGAGGGAAATATTATTTATAGTTCTAGGAGCCATTCATTTAATTATAAACAGTATGCTAATTATAATTACAAATTATTTTATGTGTTAAAACAGTTTGAATTTTGATTTCCATTAATGCTATATATTCTCTCAAACCTAGTAAAATATTTGTATAAGCATTTTACAATTCGGAGAGCCTTTCTAGGCCAAATTAGTGTGGCTCGATGCTATCTATTATAAAATATTCCAAACACGCTAAAAAGTGTAAAATATAGTCTACTATCCATGTAACTAATGTCCTACTCAAGACAAAAAATGCCAGGAACGTAATTAAAGTGCATGTGATCTCTCTATAATTGTATACACCTTCCCTTGCCTTAGGGAGGCAACTAATTATCTCCTTTTAAACATAATAAAAGCTGTGTTTTTGAACCTTGAGTAAATGGTGGTATACTCTGACTAGTATTTTTTCATTCACCATAATATTTTTAAGATTCACCTATGTTAATGTATGTAGCTGTTGTTCATTCATTTTTATTGCTTTTACTATCCATAATTTACTTACGCATTCTCTTCTTGATGGACACTTGTTTCCAATTTTTGCAATTAACAAATATGGTTACTATGAATGTTCTTTTACAGTTCTCCTGGTGCACGTAGGTGAGAGATTCTGTGGGGTACCTGCCTATGAATGAAATTGCCAGCTTGAAAGGTATGTGTATCTTCAGCTTTACTCAGTATTGCTTCCAAAGGAGCACCCATTTGGATGCCCACCTTCACTGATTAAATTCTCATTGTTCTATACCCTTGCCAACACTAGGTGTTGTCAGACTTTTTGTCAGTTTGATGAGTAACATATATCACTGTTATTTTGAATTGCTCTGATTACTAGTAAGACTGGCCATCTTATATTTTTAGTAGTAAAAGTATTTTTTCTTATCATGTGTATATTATGGCTGAAAATTGTATGTAAAGTTGAAATTAGCTACTAGATAGAAATATACTACATTAGTATCTTTAAAGCATTGGCAACTTTGAAGATATTTTTGGGGGAAATAATTCAAGGTGATTTTCTGGCAGTGTATTAGAGTGAACATGGACTTTGGAATTGAATTGATGCCCGAGTCCTGACTTTTTTCTGTTCATTGGCTTTGTGACTTTGGGCAATTTGTACAATCACTCTGAGTCTGTTTCCTCATCCTGAAAGTGAGTTCAATAATTTATGGTTTGGTGATAGAATCATGAGATAACATTAACACCTGGCACACAGCTCTGCTACTGAGTTTTAGGATGAAATAAACATTCTTACATTAAACAACACTATAAAAGGCTGTTAATTCTGTGTCATATAATTAAATCAAAACTGAAATCTGGCACATTTGTGACATTAAATGTGACTGTTGATAGTTGACTCTGAAACATACATCATCCCAGGGCCAGATGAGCAGACCACTGGCGTGGCAATGCCAAAGCAGCTGTGTGTGTGCCACGTCTCTTTCTGTGGCAACCCCCACTGGTCCCCACGCACGAACTGCTCCTCACATAGGTCACTTGTGTTCATCTTCTGTGCCCTGTCAGCTTTCTGCCAATCAGACCATCAGTGACTGTGACAAAGTTCTCCAGGTCACAGTGGATAGGAGGGAGTGACCTGGGGAGGGGACTCTTGTGGGTATCCCAGAATCTGGTTTGGGTTTGGGGACTCAGCCAGAGATTATGGGAGAGATGGGCTGCATGTCAGAGAGCTGAAATGCAGCCCATAACTGTGAGCTGGTGTTATTTAGACTATTCTGTGTCCCTTGCCACAGGAATTTCTTCACATGGCTTCCGAAGAAGTGACCGTCACAATTCGCCTGATTCGTTCATTTGAACATCGAAATTTCAGACCTGTGGTATATCATGGAGTTAATTTGGACCAAACTGTAAAGGAATTTATAGTATTTCTAAAGCAAGGTATGAGACATCTTGGTCATTTTGTTCTGTTAGTGTTTTGTTAGTATTACACTGATAGTAATCTATTAAAAAATATTTCGAAAGGCATTAATCGAGGTGGTAAGCCAAGTGCTGCCCTTGGCTGGCTCCTGTTCTGGCCTTTGAACAGGAGCAGAGGCATCACCCAGGGCTTATTTAGCAATGTGTGCCCTCGTCAGAGATTATTACCACCAAAGTTGGCTTTTCTCTGCTTTTTTTTTTTAATTAAAAAAATTTTTAAGGCCTAGGTTTGCTTGTAACAGGCTTATACACGTGGAGGTTGATTAATAAGGGAGTGTAGTGCAGCTAATGGCATTACCTGGCTGAGCACACAGAGGGCTTCCTGGGGGGCAAGGCCGGAAAGTGTTTCCACAGCCAGGAAATTGTGAGAGCTGTTGGTCACTGTGCTCACAGGAACGGTGGCCAGGTGGCCAGGCTGACCAGTGCTGGTTCACCACTGCAAAGCTCCAAAACAGTAAACATGAAGTTAGTCTTTGTTTGGATGGGTTCTTGATGGGTTTCTAACTAACATTTTTAATTGTTGAAGTGTTCCAATCATCAACATTTGATAAAACATCTAGAATATGCTTTTATTATTTTAATTCAAGTGTTATTTATATATGTCCAGGTCTTAGTGTATTGTTTCCTGAGTTTTGACAAATGTATCACTTTTATATCCAACTTATTTATTCTTTTTTACTTTGGTGTAATTTCAGACACAGAAATGTCAAAAGAGGACAAAGAATTCCTGGATGCCCTTTATGCAGATTTCCAAATGTCAACATTTTGTTACATTTGTTTTTTCCCCCCTTTTTTTCACTCTTACTCTCTTTACCCCCCAGCCATTTGTTCATCCTGAACCACCTAAAAGAATGTTGCTGACACATTCTCCTGTACTTCTAAATAGATCAGTGCGTATTACCTGCAGACAAGGAATTCTCTTGCATAACAACAGAACAATGATGAAAACCAGGAACCTAACATTGAAAAAATACTGTTATATGATTTACAGATCTTATTGAGATTTTAATTGTCCCAGTAAAGTCTTTCTGAGGTCATGTTACATTCAATCCCTTTAACTTGAAATTAATTTCTTTAATCGGAGTCTTATATTTCATCATACTGGCAATTTTGAATAGTACAAACCAATTATTCGATAGATTTAGGTTATGCCTCTTGGCAAAGAAATCGTAGAAGTGATGCTGACTTCACCAGGAGGCCCTGCTGTCCACTGGTCTCGTTACGTACGGGTGGGCAGCAGGGTTGGTGAAGGCAGTGTCAGCCAGGTTTCTCCTCTGTAACTTTGCATTGTAATGGAGAAGTAGGGGTGTCTTCTGAGACTATACATGTGAATATCCTGATTCTTCTCAAAATTTCATACACTAGCATTCTTTGATGATTCTTGCCTGAATCAATTACTATGATGATTGGAAAATGGTGATTTTTCTTATTCCATCATTCCCCTTACCCGTGTTAGTCATTTTTGTACAGTAAGGAAGAGCTTTCTACCCCACTCCACCCCATTCCATTTACTTAATCAATTGTTTATATCACTGTGGACTCATGGATTCTTACTATATTGAAAGGATTATAATTCTTCATTATCATTATTTATTTTGATGCTCTAGGTATTCCCATATTGGCGTATGGTAGCCCCTTAAATCTGGCTCCATGTCCTTTTAATATGACCCCATTATTCTTTGAGCACTTCCTTACTTTTCAGTGCAATAACACATTCCAGACTTGTCCTGTTCTTTCTGTTCCCAGACCTGGGGTTGGCCATTTCTCTGAGGGGCTCTGATCCCATTACTAGGGAATGATATTGGGAAACCAAGATCTTGACTTACATATGTGCAATGTAAATGTTCAATCTAGGTAACTTTTTTGAATTGTGAATTCTTCACATTTTACTTCTTGATTGACTTTGTAAAGTTCCTAAAGTCTTCTCCTTCACTTTTTTTTCCTGTCTAATTTTAGGTAGTTTTCCTGATCAGTATTACCTAGTAAAGAATAGGTGAGTTATATAAACCCATAGAGAAGACAGACTAGTCTTTCTACTTGGTGGTGACTATAAAAGATTGGTAAGGACATAATTATTCCTTAAAGTGACTCTAGGCTTATTAGAGTGTATATCTTTGTTGCTGTGTTCTTAATTGTTAGAGGGAGATTCACACTTGGTATTAAGATATTGCCAACTATAGAGTATCCTGCTTTTGAAAGGGTATCACCAAAAGCATGTTCAGGTTTTGAAATAATAATAAATTTCTACATTTTTTAAATTTTAAAATCAGTGATGTCCTTGGAACAGGGCACAGTAGGTTCTTCTTGAATTCCTCAAACATAAAATGTAATCATCAAGCTGTTAACAGTGGCAGGGGAAGATGTATTTTTCCCAGGGTCACTGGGTTCTTTTCTTCCCAGGTGCTGTAGAAGGCCTACCCATTAGAACAGTGGTATGGATCACAGCTAGAGGCTCAGCTCTACCTACTCACATCTTTCACCTGTGCAATAATTTAACCACTACTTGTTCTGATTGGGCATGTGGGAAATGTGTTCCACTGACCAAGAGGTAAACTTTTGGGGTACAGATGTTTTTGAGTTGTGGGATTTGTGTCCAAGCCTGTGGAGCTCTGAAGTTGGTGGACCACATATTTGTCTTTTTTTAAAATCCTCATTCAAAGATATGTTTACTGATTTCAGAGAGAGAGGAAAGGAGAGAAAGAGAGAGAGAGACAAACATTGATGTGAGAGAAACATCAATCTGTTGCTTCCCAAATGTGTCCTGCCCCGGGATCAAACCCACAACTGTTTTTGGCGAATGGGATGGTGCTCCAACCAACTGAGCCACCTGGCCAGGGCCACATATACAGGGTCTGGCACAAATAACACCCCTTTTTTTAATTACAAAGTCTTTTATTATAAAACCATAAGCATGTAATTTTTTTTGTAATTCTGTAACACAAGAATGTCACACTCAAGTACACTGTATGACATTTTAGGTGAAATGTTCAAATGAAAACTATACATTATTACACCCATTTTATTACCCCACCAACTACATTAAAGCAGGCATTACTTCTGCCGGACCCTGTATATCTTTTATGAATTGCATACATACAAAGACCATGTAGTTTTGAACTGAGGAAATTTCAAAGTAATAATAATTGTGAAATAACTATGTATCAGGCAGTGTGCTAAGAACTTTAACTAGATTATTTCACTTTTACCTCACAGCATTCCTCTAAATTAGGAATGCTATCGCCATTTCCTTCACCATTTTACAGGTGAAGGAATTTGGGAATAGAGAAGTTAAGAAACTTGCCTGAGATACATGGCTAATAAAGGCAAAGCTGCATGCAGTTCAGCCAGGCAGTTTAACTGCACATGTACACTCTTCATTCTTCTCTACTGCCTCACTTGAGTAGGATCCTTGGAATAAATGGGTTCACTCAGTGTCAAAGGGATCTTTGATTTAGTTCATATTGCTCTAGTGTTTTGAACACTGAAAGCTAGAAGGATGGTTTGACATTGTGGCATAGTGAATTTTTCCTACAGACACAAATTCTTCTTGCCTTTGTATTTTCTTATAGTCACTCTTTACCATTCGTAGCCTAAACGTGTTACTTGCCATAATTGTATTTCTCCCTCAACCAGGAAACTTTGCTTAAAGTTGACGCACTCTCCATTGAGAAGGACTATATGTACTACAACATCATGCCATTAAAACACAGGGAAGGATGTTAATTAGATATTCTGATCAGAGAGGAAACATAGATATTACTTTATACAGTTGATTAATTTTCTAGAATCAGAATAGTATATAAACTAATTATGTAGATAATATAAAACATTTTAATTCTTTCATTTGGAAGCATTTTTTTTTAATTTATTTTTTTTTATTGATTATGCCATTACATTTGCTCTATTCCCCCCTCCCTTCCCCTCCACCCTGCATACCCCTCCCCCACCATTTCCCCCTTTAGTTCATGAACATGTGTCTCAAATTCTTTAGATTCTGTATTTCCCCTACTATTCTTACCCTCCCCCTATGTATTTTCTATCTACTGTCTATGCTACTTATTTTCTGTACCTTCTCCCCCCCTTCCCCTCCTCCCACTCCCCTGTTGCTAACCCTCCCTGAGATCTTCATTTCTATGGTTCTGCTCCTGATCTAGCTATCCTCTTAGTTTGCTTTTGTTTTAGGTGTGGTTCTTAATAACTGTGAGTTTGCTGTCCTTTCACTGTTCATCTTTTTTATCTTCTTTTTCTTAGGTAAGTCCCTTTAACATTTCATATAATAAGGGCTTGGTGATGATGAACTCCTTGAATTTGGTCTTATCTGAGAAGCACTTTATCTGTCCTTCCATTCTAAATGAAAGTTTTGCTGGGTAGAGCAATCTTGGTTGTAGATCTTTGGTTTTCATGACTTGGAATACCTCTTTCCAGCCCCTTCTTGCCTGTAAGGTCTCTTTTGAGAAATCAGCTGACAGTCTGATGGGAACTCCTTTGTAGGTGACTGTCCCCTTAGCTCTTGCTGCTTCTAGGATTCTCTCCTTCATTTTAATCTTGGCTAATATAATTATGATGTGCCTTGGTGTGTTCCTTCTTGAGTCCAACTTCTTTGGGACTCTCTGAGCTTCCTGGATTTCCTGGAAGTCTATTTCCTTTGCCATCTTGGGGAAATTCTCCTTTATTATTTGTTCAAATAATTTTTCAACTGGTGGTTGTGCCTTTCCCCCTTCTGGTACCCCTATAATTCGGATGTTGGAACGTTTAAAGATGTCCTGGAGGTTCCTAAGCTTCTCCTCATTTTTCTGAATTCTTATTTCTTCATTCCTTTCTGTTTGATCATTTTCTTCTTCCTTCTGGTCCTCTCCCTTGATTTGAGTCCCAATTTTCTTTCCATTACTATTGGTATCTTTTGTATCACGATTCATTTCAATTAATTTAGCTTCCATATGTTTCTCTAATTTGTGACTAAAATCAACCAGTTCTGTAAGGATCCTTATAACCAGTGTTTTGAACTGTGCATCTGAAAGACTGGCTATTTCTTCATCACTTAGGTCTATCGGTTCTGGGGCTCTGAGTTGTCCTAGAGCCATTTTTGGTCTATTCGTGCTGTTAAGTGAGCGGAGTGAAGCCTTAGTTGTTTACCAGGACGGGGCGACCCAGGTCGCTGGTTTGTGATGCTGTGTGTGGGGACGGGGTCAGAGAGGGAGCAATGGCGTTCCTCTCCACTAGCCCAGCGCATCCAGTCACTCACACGCCTCGGGCTTGTTTATCGGATCCTAATTGTGCGAGCCTGCTGCACCCCGTGGGTTTCCCTTCTCACTGGTTTCTCCGCACGTAAATGCGCGTGACCGACCGAGCCACCGCGCCTCTTCCCTGTGCGCTCCGGCAGCCAGCTGGCTGGCGATCAGCGCCCTCGGTTGCCTGCGCGCACCGCGCACCGCCCTGGGAATTTTTTCTTGCTAACCTGCTCCGCTGCTGGCCTCGCTCCTCGTACCGGTCCAGCAGTTGTCCTTTGGACTCTGTATTGTCGATTTTCCGTGTGGCTTGGTTGTGACTGCTGTTAAAAATAGTTGTTCTTAGATTTGGTTGTGCACAGAGGCAAAGTGGATCCTCCATCTACGTCTCCATCTTGGCGGAAGTCCTGGAAACATTTTAATACTTTGTCATACCTCAGATCTTGCTTCTGAATGTTAAATCCTTTCACCTATAAAAAAGAAGCAAACTGTGGAGATTTTGTCCAACTTTCCAGTTCATAACTCCTTCTCTCTATATATTTATACTCCTGACAATAAGTTACTTGGTAAAGTGGCACGTTCCATTGGGTGAATACTAGAATAGTTAGAACATTTTTCTTTACATCTTTTTATTATTTTATATATTTCTTCATATCTGATGCATGTCCCCAGGTTTTTCTGTTATTAACATTTTATGCTGCATTTGTTGCTAATAATAAACCAATATTGATGCATTATTAACTGAAGTCCATAGTTTATTCAAATTTCCTTAGTTTTTATCTAATGTCCTTTTTCTGTTCTAGGATCGCTTCTAGATACCACATTATATTTAATTGTCAAGTCTCCCTATGCTGCTGTGGGCTGTGATAATTTCTTAGATTTTCTCTGACAACTTTGACAGTTTTGAGGAGTACTAGCCTGGCCTATCATAGGGTGCCCATTTATTGGAATTTGCCTGCTGATTTGACTGGGCTATGGACTTTTGAGAGGAAGGTAACAAAGTATCACTTTTATTACATCATATCAAGATAACACACTTTCTACATGGTTTATGATGATGTTGATCTTGATCACATGACCAAAGTAGTGTTAGGTTTCTACACTGTAAAGTTACTCTTTTTGTCTCCCTTTTCATACTGTACTCTTTTTTTAAAAAAAAATTCTACATATGAGTGAAATCGTAGTCTCTGTCTTTCTCTTTTTGGCCTATTTCACTTTAAGATTCATCCACATTGTTGTAAATGTAAATATTTTATTCTTTTTATTGTTAAGTAATATTCCATTGCATACATATACCATGTCTTCTTTATCTATTTATACATCATTGGACACTTAGGTTTTTTCCATATCTTGGCTATTGTATTATAAACAATGCTGCAGTAGACAGAGGCATGCATATACCTTTTTTAATTAGTGTTTTTATATTCTTTGGATAAATACCCAGAAGTAGAATAGTTGAATCATATGGTAATTTTATGTTCTTAATTTTTTGAGGAATCTCCATACTCTTTTCCATAGTGGCCATCAACAGGATGCAAGGGTTCCCCTTTCTCCACATTCTCTCTAACACTTGTTATTTCTTGTCTTTTTGATAATAGCTGTTCTACAATAATAGATGTGAGGTCATACTTTTGATTTGCATTTCCCTAATAATTAGTGGTATTGAACATCTTTTCATATGCCCATTGGCCATCTGTAGGTCTTTATTGAAAAAATATCTACTTAGATCCTTTGCTCATTTTTTAAATTGGGTTGTTTTCTTTTGTTGTTGAGTTGTATGAGTTCTTTATATACTTTAGATTTTTAATGTTTTAAAGATTTTATTTATTTATTTATTTATGGGAAGGGAGGGAGAAGGAGAAAGACATCAATGTGTGGTTGCCCCTCACACGCCCCCTACTAGGGACCTGTGCTGCATCCCAGGCATGTGCCCTGACTGGGAATCAAACCAGTGACCCTTTGGTTCATAGGTTGGCACTCAATCTACTGAGCCACACCAGCCAGGGCTATACTTTAGATTTTAACCCTTTATTGGATATATGATTTGCAATATCTTTTGTCAAGTAGGTTGCCTTTTTGTTTTGATAATGGGTTCCGTTGCTCAGCATAAACTTTTTAGTTTCATGTAGTTCCATTTGTTTTATTTTCCCTTTGTTGTCCTTGCTTTTGGAGCCACATCCAAAAAACATCACTAAGACCAATTTCAATGAGCTTTCTACCTATGTTTTCTTCAAGGAATTTAAGGTTTAAGGTCTTATGTTCAAGTCTTTAATCCATTTTGAGTTAATTTTTGTTTATAGTTTAAGATAGTAGTCTAGTTTTATTTATTTATTTATTTATTTATTTATTTATTTATTTATTTATGCAAGTGGCTGTTCTCTTTTCCCAACACCATTTATTGCAGAGACTGTCCTTTTTCTGTTGTGTATTCTCAGTTCCTTTGTCATTTGTTAATTGTCCATGTATATTTGGGTTCATTTCTGGGCTGTCAGTTCTGTTTCATTGGTCTGTGTGTCTGTTTTTGTTTTAATAGCATACTGTTTGAAGCTAGGAGTGTGATGCCTCCAGTTTTGCTCTTTCTTAAGATTTCTCTGGCTATTTGGGATTTTTTGTGGTTCTATACAAATTCTAGAACTTTTTTGTTCTAGTTCTGTGAAACAGGCCTTTGGAATTTCAATAGGGATTGCATTGAATCTATAGATTACTTTGGATAGGATGGACATTTTAACAGTATGTAGTCTTTTAATTCATGAGCATTCCATTTATTTGTGTCTTCAGTTTCTTTCATCATTATCTTTTAGTTTTCATTGAACAGATCTTTTATCTGTTTTGGTAAATTAATTCCTAGGTATTTTATTCTTTTTGATGTAATTATAATTGTTTTTTTTCTTAATTTTTCTTTCTGATAGTTTGTTATTGGTATATAGAAATACCACAAATATATGTATTCTGAGACTGTACTGAATTTGTTTATTAGTTCTAACAGGTTTTTTTGGTGGAGTCTTTAGAGTTTTTTAGAGAAAATTTTACATTTCTTACTGATTTGGGTACCTTTTATTTCTTTTTCTTGCTAAATTGCTATAGCTAGGACTTCCAGTTCATGTTGAACGAAAGTGATGAGAATGGGGATCCTTGTTTTGTTTTTAATCATAGAAAATAAAACTCACCTTTTCACAATTGAGTATAATATTAGCTGTGGTTTTTGTCATATGTGGCCTTCATTATGTTGAGGTATGTTTTCTCAGTACTTTCTTGAGAGTTTTTATCTTAAATGGGTGTTGAATTGTATCAAATGCTTTTTCTGCTTCTATTGTGATAATCATGTGGTTTTTGTCCTTCATTTTGTTAATGTCTTGTATCACGGTTGATTTGTAGATATTGAACCAGCCTTGCATTCTTGAAATAAATCCCACTTGATCATGGTCTTATGGTCCATTTAATATATTGGTGAGTTCATTTGCTAATATTTTTGTTGATGATTTTTGCATCTGTGTTCATCAAGAATATTGGTCTATAATTTGTGTGTGTGTGTGTATGTGTTGTTTTTATTTGGTTCTTCTATCACGGTAATGCTGGTCCCTTAAAATTGTTTGGTAGCATTCCTTCTGTGGAGGAGAGACTATTCCATGACATGACTGCTGTCTGTCCCATGAACTGGACCCGGGAAAGAGTAGAGGTTGCTTTCTGCATCCCCTCTCTCTGCCCTCAGAGACTGTGTGCTAACACTTTCCTCTTCAATTTTTTAGGAAGAGTTGGAAGTAGATGAGGATTAATTAGTCTTTGCACGTTTAGAAGAATTCACCAGTGAAGCTGTCTGGTCCTGGAATTTTGTTTACTGTGAGGTTTTTGGTTACTGATTCAATCATCTTACTAGTAATGAGTCTATTCAGTTTTTTGTTTCTTCATGATTCAAGCCTAGAAGATTGTATGTTTTTAGGAATTTATCCATTTCTTCTCGGTTGTCCAGTTTATTGGCATATAATTGTTCATAGTAGTATCTTATAGTCCCTTGTACTTCTGTGCTATCAGTTGTAACTTCTCTTTCATTTCTGATTTTGTTTGAGACCTCTCCCCTTTTTTTCTTGGTTAATCTAGGTAAAGGTTTGTCAGTTTTGTGTATTTTTCATAGAACCAGCTCTTAGTTTTATTATCTTTTCTGTTGCCTTTTTAGTCTCTACTTTATTTATTTTCACTCTGATCTTTATTATTTTCTTCTAACTTTGGGCTTTGCGTGTTCTTCAGGGTAGATTATTTATATGAAACTTTTCTTATTTCTTGAAGTAGGCCATATTACTGCGAACTTTCCTCTTATACTCTACCCCATAGTTTTTGGTGTGCTGTATCACCGTTTTCATTTGTCTCTAGGTATTTTATGATTTCCACCTTGATTTCTCCAGTGGCTCATTGGTTGTTCAGCAGCATGCCGTCTAATATCCATGTTTTGTGGTTTTTAAAGTTTTCTTCTTGTAAGTGATTTCTAGTTTTGTACCATTGTGGTTGGAAGATACTTTATTTGATTATAGTCATCTTGAATTTATTGAGACTTGTTTTGTGGCCTAACATTTTTCTATCCTGGAGAATGTTCCATGTGCCTTTGAGAAGAATGTATATTCTACTGCTTTTAGACGGAATGTTGTTCGTATATCTATTAAGTCAGTTTGGACTAAAGTGTTGTTTGAGGCAGATGTTTCCATGTAGATTTTCTGTCTGGGTCATCAATGCATTGCTCTGAATGGAATGTTAAAGTTTCCTACTGTTATTGTGTTGCTTTTAGTTTCTCCCTTTAGGTTTCTTAATATTTACTCTATATATTTATGTGTCCTTATGTTGGTTGTATAAATAGTTGGCCAAAAAGTCCATATAGCTTTTTCCATAAAATAAAAGAAATTTTTCACTTTCTCCAATAAGTTTATTGATTTGGATATTTTGAGCATGTTGGCCATTTCCCACGTGTTATTAATGTTTATTGTTCTCAATGTCTTCATTTGATACTATCAACTTCATCTGTTCTACCCAACCTTAGAGCATCATCCAGCCAGAAATCTCCAGCACAGAACTTAGCAAACCACTTTGACATGTTTGATCAGTCACAGCACCTTCTCCATACACTGCACAAATCTTTTTTTTTGCCTTTCTACTGCGTTTCTACTTTTCGTAATAAAACATAATATGCCAAAATGTTACGTATTTTCTTACATCTTCAATATTAAAACAGGTACACAAAAATTCACCAATTTTGATAAGATTTTTAAAAATCCACACTGATATGACAGCTGTCACAGTATAATCTAACACAATTATTTCAAGCGAAGTTGAAGATAACTAAGCACTAAGTAGAGCCATCTTATGGAAAAAACCGAACAAACTTTTGGGCCCACCCAATATTTACAAATGTTATATCCTTGTGTTGGAATGTCCCTTCTATCATTATATAATGTCATTGGTCACTTGATGTCATTGTAGAGGTCCCTTCAGATATCCTCACTTTTAAAATTCTTTTTCTTTTTTGCTATTCTGTCTTTGTGTGCCAGTTTTTTGTCTTCCACCTTACCTGGTTCATACTTCTACTTCTTCCAGTCTGCTGTTGAACCCCTGTAGCATATTTTTTCAGTTCATTTATAACTTTTGTTTGTTATTTTTTAATATTTTTATCTTTTTGTTGAAGTTCTCACTGCATTCATTCATTTTTCTCCTGAGTTCAGTGTGCATCTTTATGACCATTGCTTTGAACTCTTTATCAGGTAGGTTGCTTATCTTCACTTCATAAAGGTCTTTTCCTGGGGATTTGTTATGTTGTTTGGTTTGGAACATACTCTTTTGTCTAATTTTGCCTGGCTCTTTCATCTATATATATTAGGCTAGTCAGCTACTTTTCCCAGTCTTGAGGGAATTGTCTTGTGAAAGAGATGATCTGTGGGGCATAGAAGCAAAGTCTGTTCTGGCCACCAGAGCAGGTGCTCAAGGGCTGCCCCTAGTGTGAGTCCCTGTGTGCATCCTCTGTTTGTGTTGGGGCTGTGGCTGTGGTGGGGCTGGGCTGGATGTGGTGTGCTTAAATAGCCAATTGTGGCATAGCTTCTGTGCATGGTGAGAGGGGTTGGAGGTACTCACGTGTTTCAGTTGCAGTGTGACTGGCTTGCAAGGAAGGTGGGGTACAGGGTGTTTGGTTACAGTGTGACTGCTGTGAGAATTGGGTAGGGCTTGGTGCTGTTCTGGCACAGTTTTGGTGTGGCTGCTATGCAGGGTGGTTAGGGTGTGGGATGCTCCCTTAGCCCAGTTATGATGCAGGGTGGGCAGAGCACACCTACTGATGCTGGTAAGCTAGTGGGAGGACACCAAAATAGTGCCCAGCAGCTCCATCACCAGCTGGTTAGAATGAGATCTCAAGAATGGTTCTACTAGTGCTTCTGTCCCTGGCGAAAGACCCAACGGTTGGTTGTTTGGCTTGGTTACAGGGTGTCTTTCCAGCAGCTGCTCTCAGTTTAGTAAGTGGGTCTCTCTCACTTTTTAAGCTGTTGTTGCTTTTGTGCTGAATCACAGGCAGTGGGTCTGTGCCTGAGTCCTTTAATAGCAATTTCCCCATTCTCTACAGTTGTCCTGGACGTAACCCCTTTGGGTCTTTAACAGTAGATATGGTGCGGGGCATGCCTGATGTGAGGCACAATCTTTTTCACTTCTCAAGGGATCAAGGAAGAGTTCCATATTTTTTGCATCTCTCCTGGCTGTGGGACACTGAGGCTGGGGTGGGGTCTCTACCTCTCCTACATGTCTTGGTATGTTTCTTTTATGTGGAGGCTTTGTATTTGTCTGTGTCTGAGATCCTTTTCAGAGTAAAATTTTTACATATATATTTGTGAATTTGTTGCATCCATGAGAGAAGGTGAATTCAGGATCTGTGTATGCTACCACCTTGAACCAGAATCTATGCTTTGTTCCTTGTAAAGAAGTCACTGTGCATAGAACCACAGTTAAGGATCAGGGAGTTATGAGTGGAATATTTACATAATTTATTTGGAAGTCTTCTGCATGGGAAATTTTGTTTCTTTTGTTGCTCAACTTGTCCTGGATTCTGTCATTGGAAACTCTTTGCATTGGCTTTCGGGCCTCTTTGACATGTGTATATGTGTGTTTGTATGTGTCATTTGAGTACTTTTTTACCCTGTGGTTTGCTCCAGACTCACCCTGTATATTTCCTGTCCCAGTCCTAGAATCAGCCATTTCTCCAAGGAACCTTGGTTTCTTTTATCGGAGAATGCTGTTAGAAACCAAGATCTGAATGTCAGGTGTGCTGATTACTACTTGAGTGTCACTTCTTTTAGGCTCTCTCACCTGACAGAGAAAAGAAATATATCGACCTATCAACCAGTGTATCTAGACGTATCCATAAATAGTTTCGTTTTACCACCTGTATCTATATGTTAAACATGATTTCTTACTGATGTTTCCAACTCTAATCCATTATCAGTTGGGTCTTTCTAGCTTCCTCAAACAGTGAGAAACTGGCTCCTAGCATCTTCCCTTTATTTACTTGTTTAATTCCATATATATTATAGCAGTATCAGAATTGTTCGCCTGCAACCTGTGGGAGACAACTTGATATTAACTAGACTATAGTGCTTTTATGCAGCTCCTTTTGCTTTAATCTTAAAAAATCTATTACCAAAGTCATTTAAGTAAATACTTTGTTCCATTCCCTCCAGTAAAGTTGTCTCATATATTTGTAATACAACTAGATTCTTTTGTCACCATCTGCATTCTTTCCTGGGATCCCCTGACCTACTAAATGTTGTTGTTGGTGGCAGTGGTGGTAGTGGTGGTTCTGTTGTTGTTTCGCTTTGCATACGTCAAGGTTCACTCTGTACTATAAAGTTCTATATGTTCTGACAGATGAGTAAACATGTAGCCACCATTACAGTTGTTTTACTGCCCTAAAAATCCCTCGTTCATCACCTGCTCATCCTTCCTACCAAGCTTCTGGCAGCTACTGGTCTTTTCACCTTCTTTGTAGTTTTGCCTTTTTCACAGTATCATATAATTGGAATCATAAAATATGTAGCCTTTTCAGACTGGCTTCTCTCACTTAAAAGCATGGATTTAAGTTTCCTCTTTGTCTTTTCATGGCAAGTCATGTCTCTCTAGTCTCTTTTCATCTGGAATAGTACCCCACCTCTTTTGTCTTTTTATTAATTTTTTTTGAAAGAAAAATCTAGGTCAGAGTTTTACAGAATGTCCTACAGTCTGGATTGTCTGTTTTCCTATGATTTGGTCTAGGTTAAACATTTTCAGCAAAATTACTGTGTAGATTGCAGGTCAACAAACCTACAACCTGTGGTCTGATCTGACCTGCCTCCTGTTTTAATAAACAATGCTTATTAGAACACAGCCACACTCATGCGTTTACATATTAGGTACACTGCTTTGCTGGTTCGCTGGTTGAGTTATGTAGTTGTGACAGAGACTGTGGTTCACAAAACCTAATTATTTACTGGCAGGCTGTTACAAAAATAGTTAGCTGACCCCTGACACAGCTTGTTTCTTCTCATTGCATCATATCAGGAAGCACTTTGTATTACTTCGTCCCATTATTGATGATTTAGATTGAAATCATTTGGTTAAGATACTGTCTAACAGATTTATTCATTATAAAAGTACCTTTATAATTAATAAATAGTGTATGGAGTGATAAATATACAAATGATTTCTCTTTCTTATTTCTAAGGATTTTAGCTCCTATCGATGAATCACTGGTGTTACAAAATAGGATTTGTTTCTTACTTTATTGTTTCTGGCATTCTGTGAATAAGCACTTCCCCAATGCCAGTCTTTTTTTTTTAGAAAGGAATGGGTTAATTTTGCAATAGGAGAGTCATAGCACATTATCATCTTATCACAAAGGTACTATTCTAACACAGTGTGGAGGTAATGCTCTCTTGTTTATATTATACAATGTGCTGTAGATTCTTTAGTTTAAATATTTAACTATAAATTTAAAAACAAAAAATAATACTCTGATTTCTGTGGCTGTGACTTATGTAATGAGAGTATAACAAAAAGAATGTGCTAACTTAACAATAGTGGTTAACTCTAGGAAGAGAAAGATAAAGGGGTTAGGGAATGAGAGAAGGTTTCAACTGTATTCATGTCATATTTAACAAAATTTTTAAAGGATCTGAAGCAGTATGACAATGTTAACATTTGTTAAATTTGGTGGGTGGATTAAATGAATTTGTTATCTCCTTCATACTTTTATTTTTAAAAGATTTTATTGACTTATTTTTAGAGAGAGGGGAAGGAAGGAAAAAAGAGAGGGAGAGAAACATTGATCAGTTGCCTCTTGCACACACTCCTACCTGGGACCTAGCCCACAACCCAGGCATGCGCCCTGACCAGGAGTCCAGCCAGCAATATTTTGGTTTGTGGAAGGATGCCTAACCCACTGAGCGACATTGATTAGGGCTATTCTTTACACTTTTTAATGTTTAGATTATTTCATAATGAAAGTAAAAAGCATCTTCATATGCTTAACCTTGGAATCTTATCATAATATCTGATAGAACCCCTTATTAGATTAGAATTTTGCCACACTCTTCTGATCAATGTTAGGTCTTTGTTATTCTTGCCCATACAGCTTAGGCATTGAATTAGTAATTTTTTTCCATTAGGTGTTTGTGCTTTTCATGTAAATCTACTGTCAGATAATAAGATACAAATTGTACCACTTCTATTTTTAGAACTTTTACTATGAGCTAAAAGAGGGGAAAAGGCAAGTCAAGGAATGTGAATAGAGGACTCCTGGGCATGGACAATAGTGTGGGGATTGACCCTGGGAGTGGGGTGGGAGGGTGCAGGGCAGAGAAGAGCAATGGGGGAAAAGGGACAACTGTAACTGAACAATAATAAAAAGCAATTATTTTATTTATCATTGATATTTTAGTAATTTTTCTGACTTTATTGATTTTTATATTGAAATATGTGTAAAATATTTGAGACTCCTTTGTAGCATCCTAATACCAGCAGTATATTTATTAAGTTACCTTACTTTTTTAATAATTAATTTTTCTATAGATGCTTTATTTGAACATCTAAATGAATAAGTTAATGGTTACCTTCTTGTGACCTTCCAGTAGTGAAATATTAAATTAATTTTTGCAGAATTCTACAATTCTGATTTCTTCTGTAAAAGTTCATTAAGTTCCAAAGTTAAGTTCAAAGGTAGGAAAACATAAAATGAAAGAAAACCTGGTGCAAAGTGGGAAATAGTTTCAGAATATAGTAGATATGCCACAGACTTTTGCTTTCAGCCAGAGTAACAGGGACTGGATTTACTATTCTACTGGAAACAACTAAAAAACTATGCAAAATACACGAAACAATGATTTTCAGATATCGGATATCAGGTAGCACAAGACCGCGTCCCAAGAACGGAGGAAAACAACTGGTGCCCCTGTGATTGTGCCATCTTACTGCCTGGAGAGAGTGTGTAGGACACAGAGCAGAGCGGGGGAATCCAGGGAGAGCATGGCAAGTTTCATGAGTTAAAGATGGAACTGGCAGTCTGGAGTGGAGCCTGGAGAGTTCACTGGACTAATATTGGAATAGAGAGAGCTGCACAAAGAATGAGCTCTGAAATTTGCATAGCATCTTGGACAATTTGGAGAGCATGAGTCATCAGTTGACTATGCTGAACACAAAAGTGTGTAAGGAAACTACCAGAAACCAGGGAGAGAACTGCATGACAATAGCAAAAGGCAAAATGCTCAGAGCTGATAAAGGGCTGGGAATAGTTTTTATTCATACCAGCCAGAGTGGAAAACCAAGTACTGGATAGAGTATCTAGATAGGTATATATTGCAATAGTAGGGCAAAATTGACACTAGGTTAAATTCTGCTCTTCTCTGACCTAACAAAGCTGAAAAGACTCCAACGGATCTGTTGCCAAGTAATTTAACTATGTCCCAAAACAAAGCTCAGGGTGTTTATGGGAATACAAAAATATCCAGCTCTGAACAAGATAAAATTTGCAATATCCTGCATCAAGTCAGAACTTACTAGTCATGTAAAGAAATAAGAAAAAATAAACTATAATTAGGATAAAAATCAGTCAATTGAAACCAACCCAGAAATGCTGCAGGTGACAGAATTAGTAGACAAGGACAATGAAAACAGTTTTTATATGTCTTTGGAGAAGTGTCTATTCAGGTCCTTTGCTCATTTTTTAATTGGATTGTTTGTCTTTCTGGTTTTGAGTTGTATCAAGTCCTTAATATCTGCTTATTTCTAATATTAACCCTTTATCAGCTGTATCATTGGCAGATATGTTCTCCTATACAGTGGGTTCCCTTTTCATTTTGTTGATGGTTTCTTCTGCTAGATAGAAGCTTTTTAGTTCGATGTAGTCCCCTTTGTTTATTTTTTCCTTTATTTCCCTTGCCCTAGGAGTCATATCAGCAAAAATATTGCTTTGAGAGATGTCTGAGATTTTACTGGCTATGTTTTCTTCTAGAATTTTTATGGATTCACAGCTTTCATTTAACTCTTTTATTCATTTTGAGTTTATTCTTGTGTATGTTATAAGTTGGTGGCCTAGTACTATTTTTTTGCATGTACTGCTTCAATTTTCCCAACACCATTTATTGAAGAGACTGTCTTTACTCCATTTTATGCTCTTGCCACCTTTGTCAAATATTAAATGGCCATGTAGCTGTGGGCTGATTTTTGGGCTCTCTGTTCTGTTCCATTGATCTATGTGTCTCTTATGCTAATACCAGGCTGTTTTGATTACAGTGGCCTTGTAGTATAGTTTAATATCAGATATTGTGATATTGCCAACTTTGTTTTTCTTTCTGAAGATTGCTGAGGCTATCTGGGGTCATTTTTGGTTCTATATAAATTTTTGAAATATTTGTTTTAGATCTTTGAAATATGCCATTGGCATTTTAATCAGAATTATGTTGAGTCTATAGATTGGTTTAGATAGTGTTGACATTTTAATGATATTAATTCTTACATTCCATGAACATGGAGTATGCTTCCACTTATTTGTATCTTCCTCAATTCCTTTTTCAATGTCCTGTACTTTTCCAAGTACAGGTCTTTTATCTCGTTGGTTAAATTTGTTCCTAGGTACCTTATTTGTTTTTTGTTGCAAAGTAAATGGGATTGTTTTCTTAGTTTCTCTTTCTGATAGTTCATTATTAGTGTATAAAAATGCCACTGATTTCTAAATATTAATTTTGTATCCTGCTACTTTGCTGAATTCATTTATTAACTCCAGTAGCTTTCTGGTGGAGTCTTTAGGGTTTTCTATGTACAATATTGTGTCTTCTGTGAAAAATGACAAATGCATTTTCTGCATCTATTGATATGATTACATGGTTATTATTCTACATTTTGTTCATGTGGTGTATCATGTTTACTGATTTGTGGATATTTTGCCAACCTTGTATCCCCAGAATAAATCCCACTTGATCATGGTATATGATATTTTTAATGTATTGCTGGATCTGGTTTGCTAATATTTTGTTGTGGATTTTAGCATCTATTTTTATCAGTAATATTGGTATATAATTTTTTCTTCATAGTGTCTTTATCTGGTTTTGTAATTAGGGTAATACTGGCCTCATAAAATAAACTTGGGAGTTTTCCCTCCAGATAGCTGATAGACATATGAAAAAATGCTCAATGTTACTAATCATTAGAGAGGTGCAAATTTAAACCACAATAAGATATCACCTCACACTTGCCAAAATGGATACCATCAATATATCAACAAACAACAATGACTGATGAGGATGTGGATAAAGGTGAACCTTTTTTTTGTTTGTTTTTTAGGTTCAGCTGTTGATAGTTGTGAGTTTGTTGTCATTTTATTATTGTCATTTTACTGTTCATAGTTTTGATCTTTTTCTTAGATAAGTCCTTTTAACATTTCATATAATAAGGGCTTGGTGATGATGAACTCCTTGAACTTGACCTTATCTGGGAAGCACTTTATCTGCCCTTCCATTCTAAACGATAGCTTTGCTGGATAGAATAATCTTAGATGTAGGTCCATGCCTTTCATGACTTGGAATACTTCTTTCCAGACCCTTCTGGCCCATAAAGCTTTTTTTGAGAAATCAGCTGATAGTCTTATGGGAACACCTTTCTAGGTCACTGTCTCCTTTTCTCTTGCTGCCTTTAAGATTCTCTCCTTCTCTTTCATCTTGGGTCATGTAATTACTATGGGCCTTGGTGTGTGTTTCCTTGGGTCCAACTTCTTGGGGACTCTCTGGGCTTCCTGGAATTCCTGGAAGTCTGTTACCTTTTCCAGATTAGGAAAGTTCTCCATTATGTTTTCAAATAAGTTTAATTTCTTGTTCTTCTTCTCCTTCTGGCACCCCTATGATTTGGATTGAAACAATTAAAGTTGTCCTGGAGGTTTCTAAGCCTCTCCTCATTTTTCTGAACTCTTGTTTATTCATTCTGTTCTGGTTGAATGTTTATTTCTTCCTTCTTTTCCAAATTGTTGAGCCCTGGCTTCCTTCCCTTCACTATTGGTTCTCTGTATATTTTTCTATATTTCACTTTGCATAGCTTTCACTCTATTTTGCATCTGTACTCAAATCATTTCTGTGAGAATTGTGATTACTAATGTTTTTAACTCTGCATCTGATTGATTGGGTTTTTCCTCATTACTTACTTCTTTTTCTGGTGTTTTGATCTGCTCATTCACGTGGGCCATATTTCTTTGTCTTGCTGTGCCTGTTATGCTGTAAGGGGCAGAACCTTAGGTATTTGTCAAGTTGAGGCAACCCACTTTGTTTCGTTGTAGTGCTGCATGTAGGGGAGGGGTCAGAGAGGGAACAATGCCACTTGCTTGGCTCTCACTCCACTCTCAGTCACTTTCTTTGCTACCCACAAGCAAATTTGGTCTTTCTGGTGCTCATTCCCCAGATCAGTGGCTTTATGTACGTTTTAGGACTCCATGGGTCCCTCCAAAGAACTCTCCTGAAGGGCTGAGAGTTTCTCCCAACTGTGCAACCCCCACAGATTTTTACACCCCAAAGTTTTGAGGCTTTAGTTTCCTGTGCTGGAATTCTGGGTTGCACTGTTTGCCTTGCTCCCCAGTTGTTCCTCCCATGCAAATATGGGAATGCCCCGCCCTCCAGTTGCTGCCTCACCCACCTGGTCTGTCTCCTTATTGCACTTCCTCTCCTCCTGTTCCCCATCTCCACCCCTCCTACTGGTCTGGATAAATGTTTCTGCTTTAACTCCTTGGTTGTTGGACTTCCATATAGTTCAATTTTCTGGTAGTCATGGTTGTTTTTTGTTTTTAAATTTGTTGTTGTCCTTGTTTTCATTGTGCAAAGAAGCAAAGTGTATCTACCTCTGCTTCCATCTTGGCTGGAAGTCTGCACTTTAAGTATAAAGATAAAAATCAATTGAAGGTAAAAGTATGAAAAACTTATACTGTGTTATTATCTAAGGAAAAGTGGAGTAACTATGTTAATATCAGATAAAGTAGATTTCAGAATAAAGAATATTAGTAGGGATAATTACTATCACTTTATAATGATAAAGTGTCAGTTAGAAACGAGGACTTTCCCTGGCTGGTATAGCTCAGTGGATTGAGTGTAGCCTGTGAACCAAAGGGTTGCCAGTTCAATTCCCAGTCAGGGCACATGCCTGGGTTGCAGACCAGGTCCCCAGTGGGGGCCAGGTGAGAGGTAACCACACCCCAGTGTTTCTCTTCCCTCTATCTCCCTTCCTTCCCCTCTCTCTAAAAATAAATAAAATCTTAAAAAATAAAAGAAGACTTAATGATTCCAAATATGTAGGTACCTAATAACAGCTTCAAATGAGACAAAAAGTGAGAGGACACAAGTTATTAGTATCAGGAATGAAAGTTGTGATATCGTACAAATTCTTTACAGATAATAAGAGAATAATAAAGGAATATTTTGAATACCTTTATGCCATAAATATATTTACCTAGATAAGTGGGCACATTCGTTGAAAGACCCAGACTACCAAAGCTCACTAAAGAAGAAACAGACAACATCAATCATCCTGTAGTATTTTATGTTACTTTTTAAAAATATTTTATTTCTTTATTTTTAGAGAGAGGGGAAGGGAAGGAGAAAGTGGGAGAGAAACATCAATGTTTGGTTGCCTCTCGTGTGTCCCCTACTGGGGCCCTGGCTTGCAACCCAGGCATGTGCCCTGACTGGGAATCAAACCAGTGACCCTTTGCTTCACAGGCCCGTATTCAATCCACTGAGCTATAACAGCCAGGGCTCATCCTGCAGTATTTTTAAATGAACAGTAGTTGAAATAAACTCTATTCCCAGACGGCTTCATTGGTAAATTCTATCATAAATTTAAAGAAGAAATAATCCTAATTCTATAGACACTCTTCCAGAAAATTAAAGAGGAGGGAATATTTCTCAGCTCATTCTCTAAGGCCACACTTACTCTGATATGAAAACCAGAGAAAGTAATTAGAAGGGGAGTGGTGGTGGGAAGCTACTGACTAATAGCTTTCATGTATAAAAATGTAAATATTATTAACCGAATTTAAGCAAATCAACTACAACAATGCTTAAGAAGGAATAGTACATCATGATCATGTGGGGCTTATCCTAGAAATTCAAAGGTGGTTTATGATTCAAAAATCGATATAATTCGTCATATTAATAGATGAAGAAAGAATAACCATATGATTATTTCAATGGATGAATACAAAAATCCAGCCTCCATTCCTGGTAGAATATCCCAGGAAAGTAGGAATAGAAAGCAACTCTCTCTACCAGATTAAGGATATTTGTGAAAAACTGACACCCAACATCATACTTACTGATGAAAGACCAAGTGCTTTCCTCGTAATGTGAGGAAACAGGCTGGGGTGTCTGCTAGTGATCATTTTATTCAGCATTGCACTGGAGGTTCTAACCATTTCTTTTGGGCAAGAAAAAAATAAAAGGCATCCATATTAGAAAGGAAGAAGTACAGTTGTCATTATTCACTGTTGACATGATAATCTATGTAGAAAACCCTATGGAATCTATAAAAACACTACTATAAATAATAAAAGCTTATCAGTGTTGTAGGATACAAAGTCAATGTGCAAAAAATCAATTGTATTACTAGTAATATACAGTTGGAAATGGAAAAAAATTATAGCATCCAAAATATGAAAAACAGATATATTTGATAGGGTTTTAAAACTTTTACACTGAAAACTCTAAAACATTGCTGAAAGTTAAAAAGACTTAAGTAAATGGAGAAATACACTATGTTTATGGATCAGAAAAATCAATATGGTTAAGATGTCACATCTCTCCAAAATTATGTCTAATTCCAATCAATCAGAATCTCAGCAGGCTTTTTTCCCCCTTTCAAATAAGGCCCAACATACTCTAAACTCTAGAAATAAGTTATTCTAACTTATTCAGAAATTTGTAACTAAAGTAAAAAAGACCTATAGTCAGAATAACTGAAATCAAGAAGAAAAGAAGTTGGAGGAATTACACTATCTGATTTTATGACTTACTAATATGAAGCTCTATTAGTTCAGACAGTAGTGCATGCAGCATTGACACATAGATGACATATATATCATTGAAAAAATAGTCCAGAAATAGACTTACACATATATGTTCAATTGATTTTTGAGCAGACATTCTCTAGGAAGAGGTGATCTTTCCAAACTATGTTCTGGAACATTTGGATATCTATATGCAAATAAATGAACCCCAACTCTTACCTCCTGCCATATACAAAAACAACTTGGAATTGGCAAGACCTAAATGTAGAAGCTGGGACTATAAAAATTCAGAAGGAAAACAGGAGAAAATCTTAGAGACTTTGATTTGGGTAAAAATTTCTTAAATACAGAATGATGATCACTAACTGAAAAAATATTTCAGGCTTTATTAAAATAAAAAACTTTTGCTTTTCAAAGTATAGTATTAAGAAAATGAAAAGGCAAACCATAAACTTGGAGAAAATATTTGTGAAACATATATGTAACAAAGGACTTATTTCTAGAATAATAATAGTTAAACTGAATTTTTGCAACTCAAATAAGACTCACAACCCAATTAAAAAATGGGCAAAAATCTGGCCAGGATGGAGGCATAGGTGGAAACACTGTACCTCCTTGCACAACCCAAATTAAGGACAACAAAGATTTAGAAGAAAACACAACCAGAACAGACAGAAAATTGAACTGTATGGTAGTCCGACAAGCATTCAATCAGACTGATATGACAGATGGAGTCGGCGGCCTGCGGAGAGGAGTCACGGCAGGAAAAGGCAGTGGCTGCTAGACCCAGAAGCCCAGGCAGCAAGGGGCTGACCACATTCCCACGCAGATAAATCAGGCAAAAACATTCAGTGAGACAAACCATGCAACCCAGGGCCCCAGCGATGGGAAGTAAAACCTAAAAGCACTGACTGAAAAGGTGCCGGGAGAGACTCCCAGCCTCACAGGACAATTTGTTAGACTCACAGGGTCCTAGAATGTATGCAAGCCCACCCACCTGGGAACCAGTATCAGAAGGGCCCAATTTGCTTGTGGGAAGCAGCAGAGAAGACTGAAATCTGAGAGAGTGTGGAACAAGCGCTATTGTTCCCTCTCTGACCCTGCCCTGGTGAACACCTAAGGCTCCACCCCTCACTACATAACAGGTGCATCAAGACAAAAAAAAAAAAAAGGCCCAAATAAAAGATCAGATCAAAGCTCCGGAAAAAACACAACTAAGTGAGGAAGAGATAGCCAACCTATCAGATGCACAGTTCAAAGCACTGGTAATCGAGATGCTCACAGAATTGGTTGAATTTGGTCACAAATTAGATGAATAAATGAAGGCTACGAAGTGAAATGCAGGAAAATGTACAGGGAACCAATAGTGAAGGGAAGAAAATTGGACCTCAAGTCAATGGAGTGGACCAGAAGGAAGAAAGAAACAACCAAACAGAAAAGAAAGAAGAAACAAGAATTCAAAAAGTGAGGAGACTCTTAGGAACCTCCAGGACATCTTTAAACGTTCCAATATCCAAATTATAGGGGTAACGGAAGGGGGAGAGGAAGAGCAACAAGTGGAAAACATATTTGAACAAATAATAAAGGAGAACTTCCCCCATCCAGCAAAGAAAATAGACTTCCAGGAAATCCAGGAAGCTCAGAGAGTCCCAAAGAAGGTAGACCCAAAGAGGAACACACCAAGCCACATCATAATTATATTACCCAAGATTAAAATGAAGGAGAGAATTCTAGAAACAGCAAGAGATAAGGGGACAGTCACCTACAAAGGAGTTCCCATCAGACTGTTAGCTGATTTCTCAGAAGAGACCTTATAGGCAAGAAGGGGCTGGAAAGAAGTATTCCAAGTCATGAAATCCAAGGACCTACATCCAAGATTGCTTTATCCAGCAAAGCTTTCATTTAGAATGGAAGGGCAGATAAAGTGCTTCTCAGATAAGGTCAAGTTCAAGGAGTTCATCATCACCAAACCCTTATTATATGAAATGTTAAAAGGACTTACCTAAGAAAAAGAAGATAAAAACATATACAGTAAAACAACAGCAAACTCACAATTATTAACAACCACACCAGCAATCTGCCTGCTCTGCTGTGCTCTGTTGTGGTCTGGCGAGACATCTTTGGTGTTTCATCTCTGGTGTTTTAGCTCCAGCCAAGGAAATGCAGTATTTAGTCTTCAGTGGAAAGGGAAAATGTGCACCTTAAGCCAGAGGGGAGCTGGTTTACATACAGAAGTTCCCACCCATGGTCCCTGATTGGTTCATCTTTGTGCAAATAAGGAGTCCAAGTTCTCACAGTTTGGTTCAAAAGACACTGTCCTGACTGGTCAAAATGGAGCTTCTCCAATTGGTGCAGGTGCTGTGCTCTGATTGGATGGAGAAAGCCTCAGTTCTGTTGGTTAAAATACAATTCCAAGAAACTTCTTTGTAAGGGCTGGCTCGGGTGGAAGGAACACAGTGTAGACAGGTAATTATGGGAAGCAGGCAGTTCAATGCAGGCTTCTCCCTGAAGTGCAGTTTGTGTGAGAGGCCCCTATGTAGAAATGGCTGCTAGGCTCTGCTCTTAAATTTGAGACCAGTTAGCTACCAGGAGCCCTTCTTGGTGGGTATTTTCTTTTTGCAGGCTCCACAGGAGCATGCCGTCAGCTCTCACAGCCACCGTCTGTTTGACCTGCTTCACTCACTGATGTCATCTGGCTTGGCCTCGTGTAAATTAGTTTGTCTAAGAATCATCTCAGGAAGTTTTTATTTTATATTTAAACATTTATTCTTGGAACCAGCCTGCTGGAAGTCTAATCTCCCGGTGCTGGGCTGGGTTATTCTAATGTGTACCAGGTGAGAATCACACTCTTAAGACATAACCCTGGCTGTGAACATGCCTCTGTTATAGGAGTTACACAGGAGTTTGGGCTCTCAAGAGTAGGGACATATTTTGGTAACTTCTTACTGACCTTGTCACTGAAATAAAGGTACTTTAAATGCTTATAGTATAAATGAATATATTGTATTTTAATTTCAGTATGTGTTTGACCTCTGAAAAGCAAATTTACTTAAAAACATATTCTAAATTCAGATGTGTGGGTTTTTAAAATTTTCTTTAATAGACAACACATTCAGGTGGTTTTAGGATCCAAATATGAAAGGGAATACAGTGAAAAGTCTCCTTCCCACTTCTGTTCTCTATCTGACCAGTACAGCATGCTCCCTCCCATAAAAGTATAAGAAGGGCAATCTTATATTTTTATTTTTCCTCCTTTTCAAAAGTTAGCTTAGTAAGAATAATGCTCAACCTTATGCCTTCTTTGCTCTGAACATATCTTGAAGATCTTATCACATTAACAAAGAGCTTCTTCCTCCTTTTTTTTTGGTTGTTTTACAGTTGAAAATGTTTCATTTTGGGGGCATATTACAGTTTATTTAACAAGTATCCCCATTGAAGGACATTTGGATTTTTCTAAGCACTTGTTATTTTAAACAATGATAAATTTAGTACATTTCTATGTATGTCATTTCACACACATGCATGCACACACAGAAGAATGTGCAGTCTATATGATAAATTCTCCAAGTGGAATTGATGCACATGTTATTTTAATGTATATTACCAAATTGCCCTCTGTAGGGATTATAGCACCAGATGTTGTTAAAACTAATCTTGATATTTGGAACACTTAAAAAAATATTCACTCTGGTTTTGTTTTCTTTGTCAAGTTAGGTTATCAGAATTTCGGTAAAAGTAATGGTTTGTTCTAGATCAGAAATGTCAAACTCATTTTCACTGGGGGCCACATCAGCCTCGAGGTTGCCTTCAAAGGGCCGAATGTAATTTTAGGACTGTATAAATGTAACTCCTCCTTAACAATCAAGTGAGAGCTGGGTGCTGCCACCGGATAGAAACAAAGTGGAGGACCGGATTAAACGAGGTGGAGGGCCAGATTTGGCTCACAGGCCTTTTGTTTGGCACCTGTGCTCTAGATCACCAGTTTTCACTGCTAGCCAAAGACTCTCAAGGGGTTTCCAGATTTGTATGCTTAATGAACAACAGCTAGATAGGAAATATTTCACCCCTGTGTACTATATATTTCAAATATACTTAACTGTACTTAAGTACACTTAAATTACATATTTAATTTACTTGTAAATATTTAAACTAAATATTTACTTGTAAATATTGTGTTTACATAAATTACATATGTAATTTACTTGTAAATTACACTTAATTTACAAATCAATTAAATTGTATTTAATAAAATGCCAATTCACTTAATAGCGTTACTGAAGTAAGAAGTTCATCTAGTAACAGCTCAGCATCTAATCAGTGGTTCCATTGTTTTAGCTTACCTAAGACTTTGCTGGCATGTCAGGTTCATTTTGGGGTCCATCAGGGTTTTCAAAGTAGCTTAGACTGGAGGCATAGAACAGAACCAGAAGACCGTGCATTTACTCTGAGTGTCTGTCTATTTGAGTATTTTGTAATAAAAGTAATCTTTTTCTTATAGATGTTCCTTTGAGGACCAGCCTGCCACCACCATTCAGAAATTATAAATATGGTAACAAATTTTTCTTATTCTTTTAAAATATATACTAATGTAAAGTCACTTTAGTTTTGTGTTGATTTGAATTTAAATGTGGTTTTCAAAAATGAATTTATTATCTGTAAATAAAAACCAATAGGAAGTTTATTTAGAAATACAGGGAATCTAGTAGTGTGTTGTTAAAGTAAATTGTAATTGTGTAGGGAAGTCACCTATTTGTGAGGAATAGCATGTTTGGCAAACTATGTCAAAAATGAATTTCTTGGCCAGGTAATCAAAAAAAGAACTGACAAAAGACTAGGAATTAAAAGAAGAGATCTAAAAAAAGAGAGAGATTTAAGATTTTAAATGACAGTAACTTTTATCATGTTATATAGTAATTTTTATGTTGCAATTGTTGATTTTAAAATCTAGTAATAAGGCAGTTAGCTGGGTTTCACTATTTGTTATAAATATGGTACACAGTTAGTTATTACCCTTCAGCACAGTGATACTCACCAAACTTTGAGACTTCTCTTGAGAAGTATGATATACCTAATAAATATTTCTGTTAATCGGTGCAGACATTTTAAACTATAAATATTTTATTGCCTTAGATAATTTTTTTGAGTAGCTTTTAATTCTGTTCCCTTTTGGTAGAACAACTTATGACCTAGAATCCTTTGAAATTAGTCTTCCCTGTGTGTATGCATTTTAATAAGTAGAGGCTAATTTTGAGGTCATAAAGGATAGTCAAGAAGAGGCTGAAGGCACTGAGTGGGAAGTGCTTTGATTTATTGGACTTAAAGAATTTACATACCAAATATTGAGTAAGAGAAAGGAATAAAAAGCATGATTAAGTAAATATAAAATTTCTCAGTTCTGGCTTTCATGGCTTTCACAGCATAATGCCTTAAGCTTTTTTTAAAATATAGTTTACTGACTATGCTGTTACAGTTGTCCCATTTTCCCCCCTTCACTCCCCTCACCCTGCACACCCTCTTCCACCTACATTCCCCCCTTTAGTTCATGTCCATGTGTCATACTTATAAGTTCTTTAGCTTCTACATTTCCCATACTATTCTTATCCTCTCCCTGTCTATTTTCTACCTACCATCTATGCTACTTATTCTCTATACCTTTTCCCCCTCTCTCCTCCCACTCCCCTGTTGCTAACCTTCCATGTGATCTCCATTTCTATGGTTCTGTTCCTGTTCTAGTTTTTTGTTTTGTTTTTGTTTTTGTTTTATTTAGGTGTTAATAATTGTGAGTTTGCTGTTGTTTTACTGTATATGTTTTTATCTTCTTTTTCTTAGGTAAGTCCCTTTAACATTTCATATGGTAAGGGCTTGGTGATGATGAACTCCTTGAACTTGACCTTATCTGAGAAGTACTTTATCTGCCCTTCCATTCTAAATGAAAGCTTTGCTGGATAAAGCAATCTTGGATGTAGGTCCTTGGATTTCATGACTTGGGATACTTCTTTGCAGCCCCTTCTTCCCTATAAGGTCTCTTTTGAGAAATTAGCTGACAGTCTGATGGGAACTCCTTTGTAGGTGACTGTCCCCTTAACTCTTGCTGTTTCTAGAATTCTCTCCTTCATTTTAATCTTGGATAATGTAATTATGATGTGGCTTGGAGTGTTCCTCTTTGGGTCTACCTTCTTTGGGACTCTCTGAGCTTCCTGGATTTCCTGGAAGTCTATTTTCTTTGCTGGATGGGGCAAGTTCTCCTTTATTATTTGTTCAAATATGTTTTCCACTTGTTGCTCTTCCTCTCCCCCTTCTGTTACCCCTATAATTCGGATATTGGAACGTTTAAAGATGTCCTGGAGGTTCCTAAGCCTCTCCTCATTTTTTGAATTCTTGTTTCTTCTTTCTTTTCTGTTTAGTAGTTTCTTTTCTCCTTCCTTCCACTCCATTGATTTGAGTCCGAGTTTTCTTCCCTTCACTATTGGTTCCCTGTACATTTTCCTGCATTTCACTTCGTAGCCTTCATTTATTCATCTAATTTGTGACCAAATTCAACCAATTCTGTGAGCATCTTGATTACCAGTGCTTTGAACTGTGCATCTGATAGGTTGGCTATCTCTTCCTCACTTAGTTGTGTTTTTTCCGGAGCTTTGATCTGATCTTTTATTTGGGCCTTTTTTTTTTTTTTTTGTCTTGATGCACCTGTTATGTAGTGAGGGGTGGAGCCTTGATGTTCTCGAAGGGCAGGGTAATCCAGTTGCTGGGTGGTGACACAGTATGTGAGGGAAGGGTTCAAGAGGAAACAATGGCATTTGCTCTACTCTCTGCCTGATTTCAGTCACTTCCACTGTTTCTCCCAAGCACACTGGGCCCTTGTGGTGCCGATTCCCAAGTGGATGGGCTTGTGTATGTTCTAGGGCCCTGTGGGTCTCTCCAACGAACTCTCCTGTGAGGCTGGGAGTTTCTTGCGCCCCTCAACCCTCATAGGTGTTTTTAGTTGGTGTTTTGAGACTTTATTTCCCTGACCGGGGACCCCGGGTTACATGGTCTTTCTTGTTCCCCACTTTTACCTGGTTTATCTGCACATGAATGTGGGACCGCCCAGTCCACCAGCTGCCTTGTGTGCCACGCAAGGGACTGTGTGCCCTTCACAATCCACTGCTTTGCTGGGTCTGCTTTGCCTCAAGCACTCTCTGCCTGGCTACCCAACTCCACCCCTTCTACCAGTCTGGATGAATGTCTCTTTAACTCCTGGTTGTTGGACTTCCATACAGTTCAATTTTATGTCAGTACTGGTTGTTTTTTGTTTCTAAATTTTTGTTGTCCTTATTTTGGTTGTGTGAGGAGGCAGAGTGTATCTACCTATGCCTCCATCTTGGTTGGAAGATAATGCCTTAAGCTTTAATCAATATATAAATGCCATTTCATTAGAATAATTATGTATGGCTTCCTTTTTTGTTTGGTCTATATGTATACTTAAACTTGTGTTTCATGTAAATTCTTTTGAAAAATAAAAAGATGAAAAAATGAAAGTATCAGAACATCTGACTACTAATCATTATGCTAGATGATGTACCTTTTACCTTATTAACATCCTTTTGTCCTGGTATTCCTATAATATTAAGAGAAATTGGCAGAAAAAATGAATACATTTATTCTGAAGAAATTAGAGAAGTATTAGGGTTTAGACAGACTTCAAGTGACTCTGTCCAAGTTTGGCTCTTCAACATTCGGCTGCTTTGTGTTCAGTAAGAAAGGCCGAAGTGTTGTTTTCTCACCTGTCATATTCCTCCAGTACTGCTACATGCCCAGTGGGAATAGAACATTTTGGGGGTGGAGAGTGGAAAGGGCGCAGAGGCGAATTTCAGTTTGTCAGTTGCTCTCTCTGTGCCCTTGGTTGAAGGGCTGGTCATAGAGAGTCTGAGATTTCTCAAAGCCCTTCATTTATGTATAAATGTATTCCTCCCATTTAACTGGCATCCATATCTATTACTGATTTACTTTGACCAGACTGTGCGTTCCTACAGACGAGGGATGTTGTTTTATTTTTAAACCCTTATTGCCTAGGCATGTCGGTTGTACAGTGTGGGGCTGCTAATCCTGTTTGTTTTATAAGACTGTATGAGATTAAACAGTACACATGCAAACATGTTAAATACTCCACAAATATAAAATACTTTTTGTTATTTTCATGAAGTTACTTTGCTTAAGGGGTTTACATTAAGGAAATAGTACAGATATTGTTTCTGTTAATAATGAAGATTTTGAAGAAGTAAAAACAAGTAAAAGAGTTTTTAACAAAGAAAGGGACTCTAATGCAACATGTTTTTCTAGCTTGTCATTTCTCCTTTTTTACCCTCATCCCAAGTCTTACCAGTTTCTGTTGGAGAGAAAAATCTGGTAAAAATTTCTGTTAAAAAGCATTTATTTTCTGCTGAAAATGGTCTTATTGTGGTTGCAGAACTTAGTAGAGCAAAAAATGTTTCTTTTTTTATTGTTGTTAGAATAAAACAATAATTTATTATTTTATATCTTTTTTTATTGTTGTTAGAATGCAGTTGTCTTCCTTTTCCCACCACCACTTTCCTTTGCCCCACCCTCAATCCTACTCCCCTTTGGTTTGTCTGTGGGTCCTTATACATGTTCCTTGATGACCCTTCCCCCTTTTTCCACATTATCTCCCTCCCCCCTCCCCTCTGGCTACTGTCAGTTTGTTTGTTATTCCAGTGTCTCTGGTTCTATTCTGCTTGTTTGTTTGTTTTGTTGATTAGGTTCCACTTATAGGTCAGATCATATAATATTTGTCTTTCACTGCCTGGCTTACTTCACTTAGCATAATGTTCTCCAGTTCCATCCATGTTGTCACGAAGGGTAGTGGCTCCTTCTTTCTTTCTGCGTAGTATTCCATTGTGTAAACATATCACAGTTTTTTTTGATCTACTCATTTACCAATGGGCACCTGGGTTCCTTGCAACACTTGCCTGTTGTAAATATTTCTAATTTAAAGGCTCATTAACAAAATATATAGAACATGATGAATATTTAGTACGGTCAAACTCCAGTTTTGTAGGTTGATTGTAACAGGCTTTAAGCTAGGTCCTTTTATTAAAGAACAACAACAATAACAACAACAACAACAAACTATTATTGGGTTCTCTAACTTGTCTCCAGTAGTAAACTGCTATCTATCTATATTAAGAAAAAGAGTCTAATAGGTAACTCAGAATAAAAGGTAATCCAAAAGTCACATTTGTTTCTTGTGTACATTGTAAGCTAATTTTTAGCAGCTGTGGCATATTTACATTACTAATGTACATATTTTACTTAGATTAGATTTTTCTTTATTTCTTAACAATACATAGGATTAGGCTGACTTTTTATTAAGAATTGCAATAGATTATTGAAATTTGACGACTTAAAATAATGGATACTTCAGAGTGCTAGTTCTTAACTGGTTATGTACTCCTATTTTTCTGTATTATTAGAACATAATTGAATCAAGGTTTGTTTTTTAAATAGATCCTTTCTCATTTCATTTCTGTGTCGGAATTCTTGTTGCCACTC